GGGTGAAAGGGGACAGGCGCACGTGACAGAGCCCAGGCTGCGGGTGGGGGCACGCAGGAGACAGGCCTCACGGCACCTCGTCCCTGAAGCTTATGAACCAATGCCACCCAGTTAGCTTAGAGTCCCCGGGCTGGGGGGTGGCTCGGTCACCTACTCTCCTCCCTGCCTCCTCCCGAGGGTCTTACCCACATGTCACACCCATGCCCGGGTCGGGTGGGGAGAGGGACACTCGGCGGCCAGTTAGGGGACCGCCGCCCAGGGCCCGAGGCTGGCGGTCTTGCTGCACTTTCTCCTCGAGTCCCTCCAGAGGCTCTAGGAGCTCACACTCTCGGTGACAAGTCAGATTCAGAAAACCAACCGCTCCCCGCCCACCAGGAGGAAAGACCAAACCAGCAAAAACAAACAGACTGTTTAATTGTCATTGTCTTCCACCAGAGAACTGCTAAAAATATAAATATAAAATCTCTAGAAAACTCTCAGTACAGCTCTGCATCTCCTCCCGCCCCCGACGGGGTGGCGATTGTTCTTTCACAGCCGGAGGGTTACAGGTGCGTCTCCTACACCTTGCACACGTGACAGGACCCCTTTCCACCAGGCAGGGGAGGTGCCGGCCCCCCCTCGGTTCTGGAAGCTCACGGGGTCCGTCAGGGTAAACCTGTGTTGAACAGGGGGGCAGGGGACAGGGAGAGATGGTGGCCCCAACTTCCTCACATGGACACAGAACCCGGTCCTTGCGTGGACAGGGCCACCGAGGCCCGGGCTCCCACTGAAGCTGCTGTGTGGGGTGGTGGCCCACCGCAGCCACAGGGCAGTCAGGCTGAAGATGGACATGGGAAGCAGGCGGGGCTTTGGGTGCAGCGGGCCTCAGCCTCGGTCCACAGCAAGGTCACAAGCCCTTGATCCTGCCTCTGCCCACGTGCAACATCTGGGGCCAGGTTAGTCTTGCCCTGCCACCCCGCCCAGGCTGCAGTATTGCCCCTGATGGAGGATGGCAGGGTGGTCACCGGGAGGCCAGCTAGTGCCTGGAGCAAGACCCACAGCCCCTACCAGGCATCGAGCGCGAGTCTGAGAAACCCTGGGTCACCTGGTGGTGATCTGGGACAAGCCGGTCTGAGGGCAGGACCTGGATGAGCCTGGGTGTGGGGGGCAGGGTGCTCAGGGCAGCAGGGCCCACGACCTCTGCATCCAGGGCACAGCATCACCCGGCCAGAGCCAGCCTGGTCTCTGGGGAGCAGGATGTTCTCCCTCAGAGAAGCAAACCCAGCCCTGGCAGGGAGCCAGAGAAGCCAGGCGCGCCCCCCTACCCTGGCCCCGCTGTGTTCTGTGCAAAACCCCGAGCCTAGCTGTCCTGGGAGACACAGGCCTGACCAGTGAGCCCTGAGGACGAATGCCTGTCAGCGTGAGGTGTCATGTCCTAGTGATGCCCTTGGAGGAAGCAGGACCTAAAGCCACAGTTCCACTCACCTCACCAGGCCTGCAGTGCCTGGGGCAGGGACCACTGTGGGGAGAGGAAGGCAGGTTTCCCTGCTAGCTGGGGCCTAAGCCTTTCTTCTGGGGAAATGGAAGGAGGTGGCAAGTCACTGGGCTGTGGAGGTGAGAATGCTGGGAGGGCTCCCGGGTGGGTGGGTGCAAACGTTAAGATTTGGCAGAGCTGGCATGGGGAGGGGATCACAGGCTGGTGATGAGAGAGGGAGGAAGTGACCAAGTGCAAAGCCCAACAGTGAGCAGAAAAGGGGGCTGCAGGGGTCACAGGACGCCGAACCCGACTGGCTGCCCCAGCCTTCTCCCAGGAACCGGCCACCCTGCTCAAGGGAAGGGATGTTCTCTTCTTGCTGCAAAGGCCCCCTGGGTGAGGATCGCCCCCAGACAGGGCCGCCTGGCGACAGGAAGACAGCAGGACAGGACCCCTGGGGAAACAGGGACAGAGTGGTTACCTGAGGCCAGGACCCAGGTAGGGTGGGGTAGGTCAGCCCCTTATGAAGCTCCCAAAGGCAGGAGTGAGGGACCCTGTGGCACCAGGACCAGGAAGGGAGGCGGAGGCCCCAAGGGAGGGCCCAGCCAGTGGCAATTTCAGCACCAGAGCAAACAGCTGCCATTGAGTAATTTGCCCCACTGTGTCCCAAAGGAGTGTCCCAACCTCTCAGTCTGCACCAGGGCCACGTACACCCCGAGCTCGGACCCTAGAACCAGCCACTTCAAGCAGAGGGTGGGAGAGCTGCCATGGACCAGCGCCTGGTCTGCTCTGAGCTCTCTGGGGACCAGTGCCCCCAATGCCAAGCTGCTGGGCTCACCAAACAAGCTCAGAGTGGGGTGCTTTCTCACACAGCAAGCCTGAGCGGAGTTGGTGACAGCATCTCCCAGCCCCCTGGGATGGCTCTGTGCTGAGCGCCCACTGAGCTCTCCACCCAGCAGGCAGCAGGCGGGAGACACTTGGAAAACCCAGCCCCATGCTGCCTCGGGGTCTCAGGCCCGGTAAGCACATCCACAGGGACAGAGGCAAGATAACCACCAGGGGCCTGCACTGTCTTGGGACCAAGAGTGACCAGGCTGGGCTGCAGTCAGAGTGCCGGCTTCTGGGTCTGGGCCCATCATCCAGCCAAACCCATCATTCCTGATCCAGCCCGGTTCCTGAGGCAGCAGGAGAGCAGGACGTGGGGGGCCCAGAGCAGACATGTGTGGGACAGACAGGGAATATTCCCCTGAACCTTCAACCCTTGGCCGGGAGCTCTGTGTCCAGGGCTTCAGCCAGCGGCAGAGGGGCCCACAGGAAGTGAAGTCAGGGATGGCCCAGTTCTCTGCCCTTTTCCTAGGACGGCGGCTCTGGCCCTGCCCCAGCCTGGGGGGCTCTGTTGGGGCCTGTGCACAAGGGGGACGTGGTGTGGGGGGCGTGGAGTTGGGGATGAGGGTGGAAGAGAGCACAGGGATGCTTGGCAGGAGGAGCAAGGGGCTCTACTCAAAAGACAGAAGGTCAGGGTGTGGCCCCTCGCTGTCCAGGCTGCAGGTCCGCACCCCAGGCTGGGGGCTGCTATCCTGCAGCGACTCTGCCAGGTGGATGGGGCTCAGGCTGAGCTGGAGGCCACTCCTCTCGATGGGGCTGGTTGGGGAGGCCCCCCTGCACTCGGCCGCCTTCAGCCTGGCCTCATCTTGGCCATCCTGGTGGAGCAGGTCCGGTACAGACAGGGAGACCTCGCCGTTGGGCAGGGCCCTCTGCATTGGGGCCTCTGGCTGTGAAGTGTCCTCGGGGCCAGGCTGGGCCTGGGGAGGGGAGTCCTGGGGCTGCCTGGGGGACAGCTCCACCCCGTACTCCAGACTACTTAGGACCGGCTGTGACGAGATCAGCATGTCCTGTGTGGTCTTCAGGGCCCGGGGGGTTCGCTTCCGGGTTATGGGTGGTGGAGGGTCCAGCCGAGGGAAGGCTTCTGGCAGGGCTGACCTGCAGGGGTGACAGTTGACATGCAGGCTTGACGATGGCCACCCATCCCTGCCGTGTGCTCTCCCCCCAGCTGCATGCTGCACCCCAACCTCGCCCAGCTCTCACTCCCCCTGCAGCGTGGGTCTCAGTGGCTCGAGCACAGTGGCTTTGGCTCACTGGGAGGTCAGAGTGGCACAGCGAGCTACGACACATGCTACAGGGATGCTGGGGCAGGAGGGAGGTGACTCACCTGTCATCCTTGCCGTCGGCCACACCGGCCAGCTGGGCCTCCGCTGTCCTGTTGACCTCCATGGCTCCCACACCACCCAGGCTGCAGGGCTCCCTCCTCCGCAGGAAGTCATGCACCTTGGCCCCCATGGCTTTCCCCAGGTTCCGGAGGTGCTGGCTGCTGCCCACCCAGAGGCCTGGCCCGCCAGGCTCCACAGACCCTGGGGCCATGGCCACGGAGGGGGCTCCTGGCCGGGACAAGTGGGGCACAGAGCGGCTGGACTGCAGCTTTGGCGTGAGGGATGCGTTCATATTCTCAAACATGCTGTGGTCCACTATGAACAGAGACAGAACTGAGTGAGTGGGGAGGGCTGTGGACCACAGGGTCTGCATGTCCCTCCCTACACCAGGCCCAGGACGTGTCACTGCATGAAGATCCAGAAACATACAAAAAAGAGCCAGCAAGACACCTGAACCTCCCATCTGGGTTTCTGGAGGGAACATGGGACCCAAAAGCCTGGTCTGCTGCTAGAGTGAGTCGGTCACAGGCTGCGGCCAGAGGCTGACCCACCCCAGTCCGCCCCCGGGCTCACACTGTCCCCGTACCGTGGGCCACAGGCGCCTTGGAGAAAATAAAAATGAGGGTAAACCAACGAGATGGGTGAGCTTGTTGCTGCAGCTCAGAGAGCTGCCTACCTCGGGCCTGGGCCTCTGGGGGCAGAGCAGCAGGGGTGAGGCCTGTGCTAGGCACCTCCCACTGGAGCCTGGTAGGCAGCAGTTTCCCAGGGAAGACAGTGGGACAGTGGGCTGGCCCCGCGGAGGTGCCCGTGAAGCACCAGCTCAGCTAACCCTGAGCTGGGTCGAGTGACGAGCTGCCAGGCCCGAGGCCGCAGGGCCTGTTGCTACTGAGGTGGAACCAAAACTCCGGTTTTCTCGTTCAAAGCTTTGCCAGCCATGGCTCACATCAGCTGCCTAAACCTGCCTGGTGGACGGTCCCTCCCTCAGGGGCCTCTCTTTAGCTGGAATGATCCACTCAAAGGGCTGGGTGCAGACCCACTGGGTGTAAACACCTGGAGGGCAGGGACTACACCTCATTCATCTCCGTACCCTCAACAGTGGGCCTGGGTCTCACACACAGTAGGTGCTCAATAAATATCTTGAGTTGAATTCTGAACCCATTTTGCAGATGAAGAAGTGTGGAGGCCAAGCTCAAGGGCTCTATGCCATGCTGCCCACACTCGCATAGGGCATCTTTGGACCCTGGAAACCCAGCTCACTCCTCCAGGCAGCCAGACCCACCTGGGGCCTTGGAAGGAGCATGGGTTTCAGTCCTGACAGCTTCCCCAGGCTTGCCAACCTGGGGAAGGAGAGGCTGTGTTTGTCCCAGGCTCCTGTCCTGATCAGCACCCCCGCTCCGTGCCTGTCCTCTCGGGGCCTCCTAAGCGGGGCTGGGGGCAGGGAGCTCTCTCTCTCTCTTTGCCGACCTTTGCATGAAGTAGCTCTCTGCCCTGTGCAGCTGAGTCCTGGGTCCAGGGAACACACTGGGCAGAGAAATCCCTTCTGAGCCAAGGACCTAGGTGAGCCATATTCTAAGGGTCTTTGGGTAGGAGGAGGCGGCTGTTGGAAGAGGCCTGGAGACCTCCCCCTGTGATGGGCCCACAGTCCCGACCTCTGAAACTGCCCCTGACCCTGTGCAGGGAAAGCACCCCTGGGGGGACATGTGGGGTCTTGATGAGGGTGTCCCTGGGGCATGAGCATAGAGCTGGTGCTGGTGGGGTTTGGGCTGGAGACCTGCCCACCAGCTCACCCTAAACAGAGTCATCACCTCCCGACCCTACTCAAGGAGGGCGGCTTGTATTCTCTTTTGCATAATTTGCCTATCACATTCCACATCCTTGTAAATATTCTGTAACCACGAAATCTGCAAACTAGCAGAGAAGCCCTAGGAAACCAAGGCATTTAACTGTTTCCCCCCAAAGCAGGAGGTGTTTGGACCACAGTGCTGGAGGGGGCAAACCCCCGCCCCTGGCTCAGAAGTTTCCATGCTGTTCCCTCACTGAGTTTTCAGAGCAGTCAGTCATTTCTAAAAGCACCTGTCAAATTGTGAGCCCCTGAGTAACTGTTTCAAAAACATTTCTCATGAACATAAGTAACCTTGGATCAGGCAGCACTGGCTACCCTCCAGAACATACATGCTGCATTCTCCAGGAACTTAAAGGCAGCCCTGCACGCCCTCTTCTCAAGTCCACGTGTCTCTACAATAAAACATCAAGCTCCTCAAGGGGACGCAGCACCTCGTGTGATCTGTGTTTTCTGTAGCGCTCAGCATTAGGGCCTTGCACGACAGGAGGCATTTAGGAAATTTGTTTAACTGAGTTAAATTTCTATATGGATACTTAAAAACTGGCTGCATTTTGGGCTGAGAAACTTGTAAAGAAACTGTTTCCGAGCCTTTTTCAAT